TCACCCATTTTGAATAATATTGCATGAGTTCCTTGTTTTTCAATGCAGCATAGTATTCCATTGTGCGAATATACCACAGCTTCTCTACCCATTCGTTTATTGATGGGCATTTGGGTTGTTTCCAACTCCTTGCTATTGTAAACAAAGCCGTGATAAATATGGGTATACATAGATCTACTTGGATGTGATTTATGGTCTCTTTAGGGTATATTCCCAGTAGTGGAATTGCTGGGTCAAATCCTATCTTTCTTTGCAACTTTTTGAGAAAGCGCCACAATGCTTTCCACAGTGGTTGCACCATTTTACACTCCCACCAACAGTGAATACAAATTTGAGTTTTTAAAGTAGGATAGTTAAGTACTGAAATTCTAGTGTTTAATGGCTTCCAGCCTAAGTGAATTACATAGATTCCTAAAAATATAAATGAACTATGATAACAAAAGTTTTTGTGTGACACAAAAATGACCGTGGTCTGTGGATACAAGGCATATTCATTGAAGCTGGTTTATGAGGCTGTTGCCTAAACTGATCATCATACCTGTCTGATCTAAGTCTTCCTGGAAGATGCACTGTGTGTAGGAACTTTTTTAATTTGTAGAGCTAAAATTGTAAATTTGTAGAGAAGATCATAGAATACAGTCTTCAATATGGATTCTATCTCAACATCAAAAAAACAAAAATTCTCACCACTGAACCTATAGACAGCATCATGACAGATGAAAAGATTGAAACTGTCAACAGCTTCATTTTACTTTGATCCGATCAACACTTTTTTTTTTCTTTTTCCGATCAACACTCTTGATACCAGCAGTCAGGAAAATTAGGAGATATATTGCGCTGGGAAAGTCTGCAGTCAGGGACCTCTCCAGATCCCAGCTCTACCCTGTATTGGTGCTGCTATTTTGCACCACTTACACTTTTTGCTCTTGGTTGTCTGATCAAAAAATGGGAATAATTGTAGCTGGAATAGAGTTGTAAGTATTAAATGTTTAATGCTGGAGCCTGATATTTAGATTTTAAGAAACAAGTGAAAGCTCCTAGCCTCCATGAGTACTCTTGGAGCATTTCCTAGGCTGATGGTCTTCATAGACGACTGTGAGAGAGTTTTCCGCCCATGACATGATCCTCATAGGACCAAAGGCCATCCTGGATAAGCCAGCTGCTCACTAAGCGTAGACAAAGGAAGGTTACAGTTAGTCGGCTTACGTGACTCCCCTCCTCCAGTTAGTCAGGAGTTAGGCAGCCTGTGTTTCCCCCACATTCTGTGAGGGGCCCCACTACTCCCTTTGATCTGATAACGAGGTGTAGTGACTCACCAGACCCCAGTCAGAGCTGTCTTTTCAAGCCCAGAAGGCCTGTACCTGACAAGATCCTCACTGGGGATCTAGGGGAGGTTTCTTTGGGTGCTAGGCCCGAGGTCCTTCCATGTACATTGTCAATTCCATAGTTTCCTCATCTGTCTCAGTCTCTCTCAGATTACGCACAGTCACTGCATGTTTGTGGTCGGTGACGTTAATGAACCTGCTTGCTGACAGTATTATATCCCTTCCCTTCCCTGTTACTGTTGTTGGTTGCCTCCCAGCCGGTAGCGACCCTGTGCAGAACTGGAGAACTCCAAAGGGTTTTCTAGGCTGTTACTTTTCAGAAACAAGCTGTCCTGAGGCACTGGTGGGTAGAGTTGATCCACCAGCCTTTCCTGCTAGTAAGGGTCTTTGGGACTTCCTCTCCAGGTACACATGTAGACATCCAGATTACTGGCATGTTCCACGAGTTTTGATCAGGAAACTGGAAACAAAGACTTGCCCAAATTCTTTGTCCCAGCCCACATCTGTCAGAGTATAGGTGTTTCTTAGCTTTTCATTGGCCACGATCTTTCCCAAGTACTTGCCTGGCCTTTTCATTGAGGGCCTTTAAGCTGATTCAAACCACTTACTGTCAGGTTAGTAGTTTGACTAACTTAACAGTTTGTGCCATCCAGGGGTACAAAGTTAGCTCCCAGTAAATGTTTGCTGCTACTTAATGACCCTCGGGTGGAGACATGGGTAGGGTGCTGCTCTGCCAGCCCACAGGTGGTATCTCGCTGGATGTTCGTATCCACTGGCTCCAAGGGAGAAAGATGGACTGTCTCCTCTGTGCACTTTACAAGTCTCCAAAATCTGTTAGACGTCAGTTGGCGGTTAGTGGGTTCCAAGTCGAGTTGTTTAGTTTATGACTTACTATTAATAATCTGGGTTTTAGCAAAGTATCTAGTACCTAATAATCTAAGTAAGAGTACTGCCTTTTTCTTACTGGACTTTTTTTTTTAATTATTCAGATAATATAGCTGATAAAGTAAAACAAAACAAACCCCCCAAAAGAGAAAACCCCCAACAAATAGCAAAAACCGTCATTGCCATCAAGTTGGAACTAATAGCTGACACGCTAGTGGGTTTTCAAGGCTGTTAAATTGCCTCTGAAATCTCCGAAGGAGATTGTCCTTCTTTTTCCACAGAACTGCTGGTGGATTCGAGCCACCTGCCTTTGTGCTGACAGTACACCTTCCTCCTAGAGTTCCCTAGGGCTGAATAATATAGGTGATAACACCAACTAAAATAGACTGTGTGAAACATGGAATTTAGATTGGGATGTTATGTAATTTACTCTTGTTTTTAAAAATTGCGTATAATTTGGGAAATTGTGTTAAGGGATGGAACCATGGTGTCAGTGTGTCAGGCTCCTTACTCAGGGTTTAATAGTTCTTGAGTCTGCTGGTCACTTGATGGGAGAAATGTGGGCAGCCTCATCCCATAGAGATTTACAGTCTCAGAAAGCCGGCGGAGGGAGGATCACTAGGATCAGAACAATTTCATTGGCGGTGGGTTTATATAGGGGTTAAGATCCTGGATAGACTCAGCAGTAGCCATTCTGTTTGTATTGAAATGTTTAATTAGTAAGCTAATTAATAATTGCTCAGATTTTGTAATGGCTAATTAAATTTGTAATCTCTAGGTAACATTTAGGCACGATTCTTCAACAGTGGAGGTTCAAGATGACCACATAAAGGGCCCACTAAAGGTAATTCTTTTATTAATGTATTTATTAGTCTAATACTTGATTGGAAATGAGTTAAATTTGGTCATTTTTAAAACATTCTTTGGCTGTTTTGTTATTGGAAAACTATTCTAAAACGACTAATGGAGAAAGGTAGGTTTAATGTTAAGTAAAAATTGATGCGATAGTACATTTCAGTCCCACCATACTTTTGTTGCTGAAGTGATAGATGTGCCACATTAATAGGAGATAAATTTTGGATTAAGTGATGAATGAGATAAGTTGTGTAATGCTTTCAAAAGTGAGAAAATGAAATAATAGTTCACAACGCTATATATAACAACTACTGGCAAATAAAGTATTTTAAGGATAATCATTCAATTTTATGTATTGAGTCCCTTCACCTTAACACTTTCCTTTTCCTCATTGGCTAGTGAACTAAATGCTTTCTTCTTGATGAGAATGAGGGTGGGCACTTGAGTGCATTGTGCCCTTCTACTGTTTTGACAATGGATAGCGACCTGGCTAGGCAAATCCTGGTTAAGTGCTCACAAAATTAAAGAAATAGATGTAGCACAAAAATGAACTCTTCACTAGTGAAATTTTCATTTTTAGAAAGGGAGATTCATATGTGTGTAACCTGTCAGTTTTTGTGGGTATATTTTGTGGCTCCCAGTGCCTTGCATATTTGTAGCAGGCACTTTGGAGAACTGAAACTACAAGTTGTTTTGTTCTGACCTTACTTTGTAAAAGTGATTTTGCACCTGTTTAGATTACATCTTTTATATTACCTGTGCATGCAGACTCCCTCCAGGTACAAAAGAACAAAAATATGCTCAGTTATAATGATAATAACAATTACGTTAGTCATTTATTTAGTACTTAGTTTAGCACTGTGCTAAGTATCCTGCACACAGTCCTGGTAACAACTCAAGAGCAGAAGAAATGGAAGGCTCCATAAGCAGTTTGGCTAAGGTCTTGGAGCCAGGAATGACAGAACTGTGCTGCACGGGCTCTACCCATAAGGTTTTGTTTTTGTTTTTTTAAACATACCTGTGTTCACGTGTGCTGTAGTTAACTCTGGCAGCTGTTTTGTTGAGGGGTGGAGGATGAAGATCATGTAGATGAATGATTAGTATTACATTTCTATGACGAGGTCTTAGAAGAGTCTTCAGTGCTATTTCTTAGGTGCTCCTCTGGACCTCCTTGAGAGGAAGGTGGTATAGTCTGAGACAAAGGCAGTCACTTCTGCAGACAGCCTTCTCAAAGTGGGGTCTGAATATCCTGGGGAAGGGTGTGTCTTAGAAGGTCACAGTTTTTTAAATAGCAGTACTAAAATTTGTCCTTTTAATTATTATCAATATTTTCTTAATCATAGTGCAGTTTCAATCAAAATCCAAACCCAACATACCCAGTTTTAAGGAAACTGTACAGTTTACTAATTTTGATGTCTGAGTGCACATCATTTAAACAATTTCATGTGACAGAATAAGTCTGTACAGAGCACTCATGTGGTTGAGCTTAGAGGTGAAGTGACCATTTTTTAAATGAAACACCATTTTCAATTGCCCACTGGATCATTTGGTAGACGTTTCCTTAGAAATGAGCCAGATGTTTCTGTTATTTGAATGAAAACCAGACCTTTGACAGTATACATTCCTGATGGTACAGACCTACCTTTCAAGCAAAAATAAGTCTGTAGATTTAAATCTGTCATTATGAGTTGGAAGATTTTTCTGATGGGAGTAGTGATAATATTGAATGTTATTTTTGAAATTTAGTGAAATGAGTCAGTACACAGAAGATCTGCTTGATTAAATAAAACTGTTATTTTGTATCAGTGAATGGTATTGCAGAATTCTCTATAAATGCCCTTTCAAAATATAGATCAGTGGATTTTATTTGTAATAATATAAAAAGTTTACCAGTACAGTATTAAAGTCTGTATTGCACCTAGCTTTAAGAAACTACCATTTATTGAGTAATCCCAAAGGAGACTATTTACATTTATCTAAATCACTGTTAGACTATTTCCTTTTCCAAATTAGTATTTCTATTTGGCCAGCTTTTCTTTATATATTTTAATCAAAACAATCACTGTCCATTTGATGTAGAATTTGGTAAGTATTATCCCATGCATCTTTAATGATTTGCAAAAATACAAAAAATGCCACACTTCTCACTGCACATTTTTAAATTGCTATTTCTCATTAAAAAGTCATTTGTATTTAAATGTTAAGGTATATTATTTTTAATGAGTTAATAAGCATTTAAAAGTGTATTTTAATACTTTTAAGTATTGCTATATATGTTGCTGTTGTTGTACACCATGAAGTCAGACCTGACCCATAGCTGACTCTTCACTAGGTTTTCAAAGGCTGTAAATTACATGGGAGGAGACTACCCATCTTATTCACACAGAGCAGCTGGTGGATTCGAACTGTGTTCTTTTGAGTTGGCAGCTCAGTTCCTTACCACTAAGCCAGTGTTGTGTGGCATTGAGTTGAAACTGACCCATAGTTGGCTTTCCAGTATTCAGATACAGTAAATTGCATGGGTAGAGATAGCCCATCCTTATCCGGCAGAGCAGGTAGTGTATTCATCATTTGCCTTTGGGATTGTGGTATAGCTTCTTATCACTAAGCCACCAAGGCTCCCTAACACTAAGCCATTTGTTGTTGTTGTTTTGTGCTGTCAAGTCTCCTGCAACCCATAGCGACACTCTGTACAGCAGCTCTGAACCCTGCCCTGTCCTGAGCCAGTCTCTCTAATTCCGATGCACCAACCCTCATTTCCCCAGGTACTGTCCGAATCCATTTCATCTGGTGTCTTCCTCTCCTATGGTGTCCCTCCACCCTTCTGAGCATGAGGTCCATCTCCAGGGACTAGTCTGTCCTGGCTACAAGCCCAGAGCATGTGTTACAGAGTTTCAAAATCCTAACCTCCAAGGAGAAACTTGGTTTCATCCTCTCCAAGGCAGACCTATTTGTTTTCTTGGCAGTCCATCTCCTCCAGCACCATAACTCAAAGACATTGATTCTTCTGTCATCCTTAGTCATTGTCCATCTCTCGGAACTCTCTTTAGAGTTTGTTGTTCTTGGTCTTATGACCTAAGTTTGAGAAAGAGTTTAGAACTGTCACCTCCAGTCTTTCATAATTATATGACTATATAAAATATATTTAGTGTATTCCTTAATATATGGGCATTTATTTATATTTCACATATACCTTTATTAATAGGTTATGACTATTACATAACATGTAAGTACTTAGTAATAGGGAAAGTGATGTTCTAAACTTTTCCTTCATTGGTCACAGTGGTTTGCTTTGTGCTTTGCCTTGGAGGCCTCTAGCTAGATAGACTCAGGGACTTCACTAGCCTAACATAGAGGTTTAAAGTACCGGACACAGATTTTATTTTTCAGAAATACTCTTTTGGCTTATGTCTTTGCAGAGGCAGTTACTAGTCAATGGTAGACTTAGTGCCTGGGAAGATACCTAATTAACTGTTGTTGTAATGAAGTATTTTACAACCTTTTATTTGCTTTGAGGTGAACATGCTCATGTTTGTCCCCTGTTGTGTGTACACACACACAGAATGATGCTTTTGGTAATTTTTGGAATGCCTTTCTGTGAGAGAGGAGCTCTGCTAACGAGTGCAAAATGTATCGCAGAAGAATGGGCATCTCCTCCCATACCTTTCATCTGCTCAGAAACGCCCTGGAGGGCCCGTGGGGCAGGAAACATACACACACACACACACACACACACACACACACACACACACACACGACTGCATTGGAGGGGTTGGGTTTAGGGTCTGTGCAAGGTTGTACTGCTATTGTTACTGCTGCGCCTCTCTGGTGTTCAGATTTACTGATGGAAGAAGAATGGGCCATCTCCTGCCTGCATTTTCCAGCCTCAGAAACCTGCTGAGGGGTCACCTAGGGGTCTGTTCTCACTGGATAGTAAGGAGAGGGAGAGAGAGGAAAGGAGTCAGCTTACCGAGAGTTCTTTAGTTAAAGGTAGCATTTTAACATCAAAAGAAAGAAAGACTTTATTCAGCTGTACATTTATGGTTTTTTTAAAAAATAATTTTAATGAACATTTACAGAGAATTTGGATTTCCATTCATTCATTGCTTCACTTCTCTACCCGCCCAGCCCTCTCCCCCCACCCCCCAGTTTGCTCCTCTCTTTCAAAAGTAAAAGACTCCCTCCCTGGTACACAATCCCCCCGCAGCCCTCCCACTGCCCCAGGTACATCCACTATGCAACCTTAATTGTGGACCCCTGTGATAACCATAATAACCTATCATACATTGCTTTTAAATTATTCAGTCCCTCATCTGTTTCAGTGCAGTATACACAATTTATCCAGTTTTTCTCAGTCTTACTCCCACCCTGATATCAGTCCCATTTTACAGCAGTGGCACCATGCAATATTTGTCCTTTTGCGACAGATATTTCACTCAGCATAATGTCCTCCAGGCTCACCCATTTTGAATAATATTGAATGAGTTCCTTGTTTTTCAATGCCGCATAATATTCCATTGTGTGAATATATCACAGCTTCTCTATCCCTTCGTTTGTTGATGGGCACCTGGATTGTTTCCAACTCCTTGCTATTGTGAACAGAGCTGCGATAAACATGGGTGTGCATATATCTGCTTGGATGTCAGTTATGGTCTCTTTGGGATATATTCCCAGTAGTGGAATTGCTGGGTCAAATGGTATCTCTATTTGCAACTTTTTGAGAAAGCGCCATACTGCCTTCCACAGTGGTTGCACCATTTTACATTCCCACCAACGGTGAATAAGGGTTCCAGTTTCTCCACAACCTCGCCAGCATTTGTTGCTTGCTGTTCTGTTAAATTTTGCTATTCTGACTGGGGTGAGATGATATCTCATAGTTGTTTTGTACATTTATGTTTAATAAAGTATAAGGAGATGAGAGTATGAATCAATGTTACAAATAAGAACATTAGATAATGTAGAAAGAAAACTAGGAGTTTTATTTATGAGCAGTTACAGAATGAGTAGGCACATATTTACATGTGTATTTTGTTCTTAAATATTTTTTATGTTGCATATTCTTCCTAAGAACATCTCTGGTGATGAATAAAAATAAAGGTGTTAATTCTGAATGGATTAGCCTACAAGTTAGAGGCTTATTTTTTAATTGTTTTGATTTTTTTTTTTTAATCTCATAGTCTTGTGTTGTTAATAGTATAGAAGAGAAAGCCACAGCCTTAAACTTCTGTGCCCCAGGGGAGAAGGAGCCTCTTTATGTGTATGTAAGCAAAGAAATGTCGTGTTTTTTTATTCTCAAAGAGTTTTTCTAACTTTTGGAAAACGCTCTGCTCTAGGTAGGTGCTGTTGTGGAGGTGAAGAGCCTTGATGGGGCGTACCAGGAAGCTGTCATCAATAAATTAACAGATGCAAGCTGGTACACTGTAGGTAAGGGGGACCTTTTCTTTAAAAGTGGATTTTCAACTATCTATAAAATTTAATAAAAGAAGGAAAATGTCCTTGATTAACTCTTCTGGTGACATAAATGTTACTACTTTATCGCTTTGTATTTTACTGGTTTGTATCTTTCTAACTATTAAAAAAATTTCACAGATATGTATTGTATATGTTTATATATATGTAAATAGTTTTAAGTTACTTAATTATAATTACTTACAATTGGATTTAGAATATTTTTCTCTCAAAAATCCATCATACATAAATTTCTTTAATCAGTAGTCTGATGTGCCTTAATGTTGACGTAGCAGGTGTTTCTGGTGGTGATTTGCTGTTTGGATCTGCTGTCACAGTCCATGCTGGAATGTGTTTTTATACAAGCACCTTATCCTCCTATTTCTCTAGTATATACTAAGAAGTAGACAGAGGTTGAAGGGATATAAACTTAAGCCACTTTACTTATTAATACAAATTGCTTTTTTTTTTTAAATTTTTATTGTATTATTTTTATTTGTACCGTCAAGTCAGATCTGACTGGTACAGGAGGAGATTGCCCCCTCCTTCTCCAGCAGAACATCTGGTGGATTTGAACCGCATTATCTTTGGGATTGCAGTGCAGCGTCTTGCCACTAGGCCACCAGAGCTCCCTTACAAATTACTTTAAAAAAATTAGTAAATTAGTTTACACTCCAGTAAACAGAACTTTCACTGGATTTGATGAATCTTGTTAATGTTTAAACATTTTTTTTCAAACTTAACCCAGGAAAATGTCTTGGTTTTGAGTTAATATGCCCTTTCCAGATTACTAATGAGAGTAAATACCTGTTGACATGTTCATTGAAAGAACTTGGTTCTGTTTTTGTCGGTTGTGATTAAGTGGTTTGCCCTCTCTTCTATTTCTTCCCCACCCCTTCATGATTTGGTTTTTCTTTTTCTTAATTTCTGATGGCTACACATTGCTTTGTATGTACTCGATATTGACCCTGTGCTACTTAAGTTATAAATATTTTTCTCTTGTGATTTACTCTTGTTTCTGCTTTTAATATTCACATGCACCTGTTCCTCAGTTATGGACTCCCTTGTACTGTAACATTGTCCATTTATGACAATAGAAAAACAGTCTCTTGCTAGTTATTTTGTGTATTCAGATGGGACAAACATGACAGTGACAACTGTGGGGTGTGTCTTTCGTTGAGGCAGGCCTCTAAGCCTCCAGGAAGCTGGCTGCATTGCACTGCACCCCCTGCTTCCTCTTGTGGCAATAGCTCCGCTTTCATAACACTCAGGGGCTGACCACCTCCTAGGCCTCCAGCAGCACCTGAGTGTGTGCCCACCTCCTGTGTGGAACAAGGTTCTGCGGCACAGAACTGCTGTGGAGTGAGCAAGGAGGGGAAGGCATTGCAGGAGATGTTTAGAAGAAGTGTCTGCAAGTTTAATAATATCCCAGACAAGAAAACAGAAATCCATATCATGCCACTATGAGCCACATTAATCCTGAGCCTTGGCTGGAGCCTTGGGAATAGTCACTGGAGGGGCCTGGGCCTCGTGCAGGAGGTGGGTGCACTGCTTACATCCTGGGCCCAGCACCCCCACAGCCCAGCCCACACTCACTTGGCCTGGTCTCTACCTGGATACCTCCTCCACACACGAATAATCCTTAACTGGACTCAACACAGGGATGAGCAGATCAGTAAACCTTGCTGTTTCTATTTTTATGTTCATATTTTCTGAATCTAAATAATTTAACAGTTGGATGGACTGAAAACAGAAAAAAAAAAATCCTCCTTTATTCACCTAATGATATTTGCATATGGCAGACAGCCTGACCTTTGGACCTCAACCATGTCCAATTGAGGAGCGTGTTGTTCTCACCCAGCCCTCTTCTGCTTTGACTCTTGTTTAAGAACACCTTCCTTCTTTTTGAGAAGTCAGTTCTCTTATAGATTCTTTAATACCTTTTCACATTTTAGTAAAATAATACTAATAATAATAATAATAATAATACTTTTTTCTACTTTTAGTTATTTTTTCTGAACAGTCTGAAATATTATCTTTATAAAGACACACTTTAATATTTCCCTTAAGTGATGGTCTGTTATCCCAGTATTGTTTAGTGAATGGTACTAATTTTTACTTTCCATAACTAAGAAATCAGTGTGAGCACTGAGTAAAACATACACATTTGATAGATATTTGAAATACCAAAGGCAGGTTTTGTTTTTGTTTTACTGGAATGATGGAGAATGAGGGAAAATTCGATTTGGGGAATTGCTTGACTCATTTTGGTTATAAAAGTGAGCAATTCTGCCCAGAGGTGACACTCAGTCAACTGCTAGGGGCATTGGGCTTGTGGTCCTGAAACCATAACCAAGTTTGTCTGTAACCTGATGGAGAAGGCTCCAGCGATGGTAAACGCTGCTGTGATTTATTTGAAGCCTCGATTGGCCACATTTTGGCACTATACCAAGGTGGAGCTGGTTCCTCCAACCCCTGCTGAGATCCCTACAGTTGTTCAGAGGCTGAAAAAAAATAGTAGTGCTCAAACTGGTCGCTTCAAACAGCTCAGAGTTAAGGAAGCTCTGCTGAATAGTTTGGTGGCCACTGAGGTATGGATGTGGTTTTATATCAGCAAGATCATAGGCAAGCGTGGGATCATCTGCTATGATGTTTGAATGCCTTCGATTATATTTCACTTACCATTTGTGTATTCTTGGACCATGTGTGATAAGATTAATATCTCAATAAAATAGATAATTTGGAAAAAAGTAAGCAATTTTGTATTAAGTTTCGATGGTAATTACATATGGTCGTGAGTCTTATGTAAGGGACTTTTATTCTTGCATGTTTTACTTTCTACACTTAAAAAGTGTACAAAAAGTTACTGAGTAAAATACATAAATATGTAAAAATATAGAGGATCCTAATTTTGACAGACAAAAACTGTGTTTTCTAAAATCACTCCCTGGCAGCTTTGTTTGAAGTAGAGTCTCTCTTGTCACGATTCCTCAGCTCGACGTTAGTTGCCAGTTCCAGTGATGTCACTGTTAAGTCGCTACTGCTATAGGGCCAATGCCTCCCTTCAAATGAGCACTAGCGCTCTGGTGGTGCCTTCTGCTTAGTAGATCATGCCCTGGGCCTGGGTTGCAGCACAATCAGGATCAGTGTCAACACAAAGACATAGCAGTTGAAGGGATTCCAGTTCAGTTGTTGTAATCTAAGCGGTTTGAACATGGCCCAGATGTTGTCCTTGTTGTGTACCATCAAGTTGGAACTGATTCATAGCTGACTCTCGTGCGCGTTTTCAGAGTCAGTAAATTGCATGAGAGGAGATTGCCTTTATTGCTCCTGAAGAACAGCTGGTGGACTTGAACCATGTGTTTTGGGGTTGGTGGTACAGCTCTTTACCACTAGGCCACCAGAGCTTCCTATGGTCCAAATAAATGATTGTAAATATATTGTGAATGGCAAACTACCTATCATAAAATTATCTGCCTGGCGACCTCTGGTGGCCTAGTGGCAGGAAACTGTACTGCAATCCCAGAGGTGCATGGTTCAAATCCACCAGATGCTCTGCTGAAGAAGGAGGAACAATCGCCTCCTGTACCAGTCAGATCCAATTTGACGGTAACACATAAAAATAAAAAAGAAAAAAAATTAATCTGCCTGCATCATGAAATACTATTTATATTCCATGTGCATACTTAGAATAAGCTCACTGAGATATTCTGGTATTTTAAATCCACAGATTTTTAACCTCCATAAAGAGCAGTTTTGGAGTCCCATGACCCTTGGGACTTTGGGTTGTGCCTGGGGACCTTTTTGGCTGTCAGAGTGACGGGTGGCTTCTAAAAGGTGGAGGCCAGCAGTGCTGCTAAATAATGCCCAGGATGCGGCTGCCATCATCAACAATGGTATAAAATGGGAAACTCTGCTCCAAATAATGAGAAGAAGCATCTCTTTTAGGGACAGTGTGAATGTTTAAATTTGTGCTATTTGTTTCTCTGGCAAATCTCTTGGTATCTAACAGGAAAACTTGCCTTTTCTTTACCATGTTGATAGGAGCTGATGAACGTTTAACCTATTTCCTCCTGAAATAGTTTCTTATTTTATGAAATAGTTTCTTATTTTATTTCACGGAAAATGTTTGAAATCCAGGTTTATTTCTCGCTAGAAAGGAGAGGATACTTTAGTACTTTGTATTTGAAGTTGTTACTTAGAAAACGTAAAAGATGAAAAACAAAACCAAAAACCATGTAAAAAATGACTGAGACTTCAATAGTTAGATTTTCAACAGAAGCTTTACTTACACCTAGGAAATGAAGTGATAATTTATGTCACGTTGAATAGTTCTTGAGTGTCTTCTCTTTTTTCCTCCTTTCCCAGTTTTTGATGATGGAGATGAGAAGACACTGAGAAGATCTTCCCTGTGCCTGAAAGGGGAGAGGCATTTTGCAGAAAGTGAGGTATGTAGTCCCACAGTGAGTCTTTACATCTCAGTGTGCTGCTGCAGGGAGCAGCATTTTGCTCAGATCAGTAAACTTACTTGTTAGGAGAGGTTGTTAATGTATAATACCAGTAGAGTGTACTCTTTTAAGGCTTTCTAGCTGAGCTCTGTGTTCTCTTGTTTGTCTAATATGTTTTAGCATTTTCCCATAAGGAAATACAGTGGCCTTATTTAATTATTATCTTTAAGCAACTTTTAGGTAGACTCTTTT